TTTTTGTGCTGTTCTAGATGCTCAGTTATTCTTTGTTTCAATTCTTTTATTTCTTTAGTTAGAGGGTTTTGTTCTTCCTGAGGTAGAGGTGCCTTGTTTCCAAATGAGAACAGTTGTATATCTCTGCTAGATTCCTTCACTGCCAACTCCCCCTGGTTTGCCTCTACATTCTGAATTACTTCTGGTAAGGCTTTGATTTCTTTGCCCTGGGTAAACCTTTGCAGTTCGTCCAATTCTGTTTCTGTGAATATTTTATTTCGTGTTATAAATCGGCGTTGATCTGCTAGTCTCTGTTCTGTTATTTCTGATTCTGGATGTTGTTCTTTCCAGAACTGGTGCATTCGTTTTAGATATCCTCTTCTTGTTGGACTTATTATTATTATTATTATTACTTCTAAGTATTCTCCATCTACACTCAAATGTAGTATCAAGCTATTTCTCTTTATCACTTCAGTTCTCTGAGTAAAGCAACAAGGACACAATTTTCTAACCCTTCATTTTCAAAAAATGTTGTCCAACTCAAAGTGAATTCTTTATATAATATGTCGGTTTTACATTCCCAAATGACTGCATTTCTCAAGTTAATCTGAGAATTAATCTAAAGAAAAATTGCATTATAAGAACAGGTTTCTGAATTTGTGGTATCAAAAGAATGAAAACGGCCAAACCTATTGGAAATGTTAGTGGTTTATAGCACCACAAATTTTAAACCCCCTGTTTTATTGGCATTGTCGTGAGACTCTATCCCTTTTATCTTTCTTGAAATAATACAGCTTTTTAAAAATGATGTGTTGGTATTTTCTAGTTTGATCATTCACATTTTGAATGGGTAAAGTTGTGAATTATTGTTGGAACTGGGTTGGCTTGAGAGAAACTGTCCCAATGTTTTCCAGCTGCCTTTCATGTCTAAGGCAGGACTAAAATTTACAGTCTCCTGGTTTTTAGGCCAGCACCTTAACCACTACACCCAATTGGTTCTTTACCATTTATCCTGCTTATATTTTAATTTGAATTTTCCAAATGTCATGGTTGTTCCAAATGGCAGCATTAGTTAAATTAATGATCTAGGCATTCTTTTTTTTTTTCCCCTGTTCCTGATAAGTGAAAACATAGCTAGGTTTATTTTAAGTTTATTCAAGAATGTTGGTTTTCCACATCCAGACAAAACAGTTCACACTGCCTGTTCATGCCATCACCCACATAACAGTTTACTAATGTGAAAAAGGTTACATTAAAAATAAATAAAAACTGCTTAAAATGCATAGTCTTACGCAGAGCCAAATGGAATCTGATTTGCCATCATGGTGAAAGGGGAGTTGTTCTGTTTATAAAACAGATGCAACAAACTGGATGAAAATGTGAGCCAGCTTTCAGAACAAGGAACAGACAAAAGATATTTGCAGTTCTACTATATATTTTTCTCTGTTTCTAATGTGCAGAAGCAAATATAGAAAATGTAACGTGTATCTGCAAAGTTTTGCACAATAGAATCATATCCATATCTCTGTTTCATTATATTTTTTAAAAAACAAGTTAATGGTATCATGCCAAATTAAATACTGGAGTTTTGCAAAATATAGAAGGAGTGCTTTGATTCAACAAAGCTACAACTGAATTATAGCAAATTTGTGAATTGCAAGAAGTACAGATCTTGAAGCAACCAGCTGAATCGGGTGATCCCAAAGTATTTCATATTTCTGAAGATCTGATGGTTTGTTTTTTTTTTTTTTTGCAACTTCTGGGGTGATGCTCTCTGAAATGCTATGTTGCATTTTCTCTCCCATATATGAAGAATGCTGATTGCAGAGTTGAATGATGTGAACATTACACTGACAGGAGTCATTAGCCAATGATTTTTATCCCCTCCTTAGACTCTCTTCCTGTCTGAACTTCTCAAGGGTGGTAAGGATGCCATTGATGTGGGCTTCATTTACTTTCTTTGCTTTGACTCCTTTCTCTAATAATAGTTTCTTAACTGTGGCTAGCTGTAAGCATTAACTTTACAGGTTTGTCCCTGTAACATCTCCGCTGTCATGGAGGCTTTGGATTCTGTGCCTTATGATGATGGGGAGCCAAATCCTGAGATGTCCTTAGAAGATGAGCAGAGCGCCAGTTGAACAGCCAACTGAGCAGGCAGAGGAGGTGGGGCTGGCCAGAAGCAGAGGAAAAGGCTGCCATCATTATGCAATGATGAAGACAAACTGCCACTCCCTCCCTTTGCAAGGGCACATAGAGCAGAGCATAGAAAAAAGCACTATAGGTCAGCAAGGCTTTTCGTGAGGAGGCAGCCCCGCCTTCTCAAATGAAATACACTAGGTTATTCTTTCTTAAGAGGAGCTTGGAGTTAGGACTGGTGTCGGAAACAGCCATCTGTTATTCTGATTCCTTATGCCTTGCCTTGCTTGCCTTGACTCATTTTGCTTTGCCTTGTCTCACCTCATCTCTCACCCTGTCCATTTGCCTCATGCTTTCAGAAAATGAGAAGTCCACAACCTCATGCCTTGGACTCCAGAACTGTTTGGCCTCTCATGTGCCTGGCTGTGTAGACTTGGAACTCTTATGCAAAATGCTAGACTGATGGGAACTTTGTTACTTTACGTGCATTGGCATATGGCTTTTAGTTACATGTTACATGTAAAAGTTTGTAGCTGCCTCTTGGGTGTGCACTAGCTAGTTGCACTAGCTTCTAGTTTCTTCACTTTTAAAGCCCTGCATGTGGACTGCTTTCCCTAAGGACATCTATCTGTTCTGCCAGGTCAGATAGGTGCACTCCTAATCTCTTCCCCTAAATGTTGCCATCTGATGGGAGCTAGAAAATGTGCATTTTCTATGGCAAGACCTGCCCTATGAACACTCTGCCTTATGAAATTTGACAGGCCACCATTTATTTATTTATGAGACTTATATACCGCTTTAAGTTCAAGCACTCTCTAAGCAGTGTACACCAGTAAGCAATGTATATATATATATATTTACATTGCCCCCACCAATCTGGGTCCTCATTTTACCTACCCCGGAAGGATGGAAGGCTGAGTCAACCTTGAGCCGGTGAGATTTGAACCACTGACCTGCTGACCTGCTGAACACAGTCAGCTAAAGTACTGCACTCTAACTGCTGCTCCACCTCAGCGCCTTTAGCCTTCTGTAAGGCTTTGAAGACCTGGTTTTTCTCCCAAATACTGATGGAAAGAGACTGACTGAGCCAGTTGAAGGAGTCAAATAGGAAATTAGTCTGGAATCATTACATTACAAGATCACAGCTCTGATCCTCTTTAAATTCTGTTAAACCTTATCTAGTTTGGCCAAGATGCAAACTGCAAGTCTGGGGAAATTTCTGTGAAATAGGCATGAGCAATAAAGTAGCTAATTGAGCTCTTCACATGTGGATCTGGCTCTTCTCTGCCGGGAAAAGACTGGATGACGGCATTTTAAAAGTTTGATTTGGGGCCACATTTTTGTTCTTTTGAATGTTTTATTGTATTAATTGGTTTAGCTTTATAGTTTTAATACAATTTTATATATCTTTTAATTTTTGATTGGGAGCCATCTAGAGTTGATTGAAAGATGGGGGCTGTATAAATGTTTTAAATAAACGAATAAACAAATAAACAAGCAAGCTGGATTCTCTCTTTTGCTAATGGACAATTACATTTCTGGACTGGTCAATTCCCAACTCAACTAGGAGTTCAGTTGAGGGCTCAGTGCTGGGAATGTACTGTGCCAATAAGATCCGTTTCTCCACTCACTATGTACTGCACCCAACTACTCTACTGAAGGTTACTTATTTCTTCTCCCCATCTGCATTTTTCTATCGGAGCTACTATTGAATAGTTTTTGAACGGTTGCCTCCTCCCTCCAGAACACCTTGGCTCCCAAGATATAGAGTGCCCTTAACTTCTTGGCATTTAATATCTTATTATTCTGCAAGGCTTTGGGCACTGATGGGAAAAGAGCTTTAGTTAATTAGTATTTGGGGGGTTGTTGGATTTTTTCCTTGTTGTAATTGTAAATCCAGGGAAGTAGGCAATATATAGAATAATGTATACTTGTATAAATGTCCTTCCAGAAGAGATCAGAATTTGCCAATGTACTCTGTTTATCTTGGCATCCCATTGATATGGTGGGGGGGTGTCCTTTATAGGAGGGATAAAGTTTTTCAACTCTGGGAGGTCCTCTGATGTGAGACAGCAAAGCCCATCTTCCCACAAAAGCTATCTATGGTTATTGTCTTGCCAAGCTGGCACCCCCAAATAGAAAATGTCTGGTGTTAGTTACTGGGTTGTATTTGGAAATTATTATTTTTAAATTTGGGGTGGACAATTCCTGCCTTAGTTTGGAACAACACAACTCTTCTTGGGACAGTTTAAAAGCTGCAGTGCCATGTGTTTCCATGCTATCTCTGCTTTAAAAGAGTTGCTGGGGGAATATTTAAAAATGCATTACAGTGAAGCTTTTGAAGGTATTTAACCAAAGCTTGCCAGAATTAATGTCCTCTAAAGAGCCTACTATTCTGCTGTTTTCATCGGGGCTGTCAAAAACTGAAACTGCTGCAGGCGTTTTGACATTTCCTCATTATAGCTGATGGACTTTTATTTAACTGACTCTTGAAGCTTGAAGCAGCTTGGATCAAACTGGTTTGCCCTTAAACCTCATATCATAAACCTGAATCAAACTATGTATTCTTTAAATTTCCGAATCTGAATTCAAGCTGAACAAAAGGTTTTTAAGTAGCAAAAGACTTTCATTAGCTTTGGTCCAGCAAGATGAAACAAATCCATTTTGTAGTTGTGTAATATGACTTTTTCTGCAAAGTTCTCATTACAGTTTTCTAAAATGATGTTTTGCTTCCCAAAGGAAGAACTGGAGAATGTTTATTACACTTGTTTTAAATATTTATGTGTGCACATCTGTATGTATATAAAATACATAAAATGAAATAATAAAGCAAGATTGTTTTACTGTATCTTAAATAACACACATTATTATTTCATTTATTCTAGGTCCATTGGTTATGACAAAAAAAAAACCTGACCAACCAGATTGTCACCTGGGCCTAACATCACTTTGGTCTGTGTTCAACACAGCACTGACTTGGTAGGTGGGCAATATCCAGTGGAGAAGACCTCACCATCTTGCATGGAAGGCCAAAGCAAGGATGGCAAGACACAAGAGAAGCAGATATGAAAATTGCCCAGCTGGAACTGTTTATCCTGGCATTTATCCTACATTTTGCTGTATTTGATTGTGCAAGATGGTATTCATCGATAGGAAGATGATGATGATGGTGGTGGTGGTAGTGGTGGTGATGATGATTTCTTTTATTCTAGGTCTCTTCCTGGCTGTTTTTGCCCAAGGAGGAATGCTTCAATATCATCTGCCAAACTGTAAGCAGAACTTACAGCAAGCTGTAATTAAAGATAGGAAAACTTCTCATATATTATTAGGTACAGTATATATAATGGACTATCTTTAAGGTCAAAGGAATTCTCAGACAGGTTATACTACATAAGAATATTCCATCAAATAATCAATTAAGAAATCATCCTCATTATCCCAAGTGGGACACGACCTTCATGAGGTTGTGGGGCTTGGGTACTTCAGGGAGGATGAGAGCTATGCCAGAGGTTCACCCATATTGGGCAGATCTTATCAGATGAGCCAGAAAAAAAACTGTCTCTCTCCCATAAACAATATGGTGGGACATAACTTACAGAAATCCATACCAAGATTGGTCTTCACCCAAGTCAAGAAGGACCCCAATAGGTGTTGGAGTTTATGGACATCTGGTGACAAATGGGCTGCAGGACTTTGGATTGCTGACTCAGCAACCAGGGCCAGCAGCTGAAGGACTACGGGAATAAAAGTTGCTTATCCACCACAACTATATAAAGATTGAACACAAAGAAATAATGATCCTTTATTAAAAAAGGAAAGACAAAACCAATAGTAATAGATGCCTCGGGCCCAATCCCAAAACAACAGCGTACCACTTAAACACCATCCATGTGGACAGAATTACTATCAGTCAGTTTCAAAAGGCAGCTTCATTTGGAACAGCTTACAATCCTGCACCATCAAACAACATTTGCCTATCTCTTGAGAAAGTGGATACAAAAGCCAGATCCAATGTAAACATCTGTCTGACCTTATGACCAATCATAATAATAATCAGAAACAATAATGAAAAATCTCTGCAAACACTGCTAAAAGGCACATTAAAACCACATGCAGGAAGAGTATGTAAAGAAACACAGCACCACCATGATCATCATCAATATATTGCAATGGTCAACATATAATTGGAATTGCTATGTATGGGTCCTAAATTGAAGTATTTTTTTTTCCTTACTGCTTCCCTGTTTACTGGGATGTAACTTGACAGATACAAGAAAATAAAGAAATCATCCTTGCTGCTTGCCTTCCTCTGCCCAACTATAACAGTCTCAAATGTAGAAGCCTTGGAGGCTGCTGTAGAAAGGTGTGCCATTTGTGTATTGAAACATTTCTTTAATCTCTCAACAGGATACATACTAAATCAATTTCCCAGACTCTTACCATTGAAAGGCTGGTAGAATCAGGGGAAAAAAATATATCCTGACATCACACGGCAGGGCCTGGTATGATTTACAATATATAAAATATTTTGACTCAGAAACCTTTTATTCTAGAAAAGGCCATTCTGGGCAATTGTAAATCATGACTCTTGAATAGTTCTGTTTTGATTATTTTGATTATTATTTTGAGTTTTGCTGGTTGTTCCTTTTCCTTCTTTCCTCCTTTTCCTTCTCCTCCTTCTCCTCCTCCTCCTCCTCCTCCTCCTCCTCCTCCTCCCCCTTCTCCTCCTCCTCCTCCTCCATCCCAGAGAATATTTCATTAGGGGCTTTTTAAAACACAGTGCTTTGAGGGAGCACATGGGACATGAAAATGTTCATGGGCTGTCATTTTCCAGCAGCCCTGAGGCAGATCAACCCCTTTTTACTTTTCCTAACAGTGTTTGACCTACAGTCACCTGACATGTATCTCTGTTTGCATCTTCCATTTCCTCATTTTCCCCCTCCCCAAACCTGCTTCACATCAGACAGCCTGAAAGGTGATTATTTTTTAAAAAATTTTTTTTTAAAGATGATTTATAGAAAAACAGCAGCTGCTTATTACAGGAATTACTCCCAAAGTCCTGCTGCTGCATTGCATGAAGCTCTGTTCTCTGCTCTAGTCAGCACTGCTGTCAGTCAAGAAGAGAAACTGCCATGTGTGGCAGACGGCCAGGTCCGCACAGCCATTTAGCCAGAAAACTGACATCAGCAAGAGTTGCTCGCGGAGGAATAGTCTGTTCTTTTCAGCCAGCTCTATCCAGGGAGTAAGAATAAAATTGTTCTCTCAGTCAGGCTTCTGCTATTTTAAAGAACATGGAGAGAAAGACGGCATTAGCCCAGAGCTCCTACTGAGGACTGCAGCACTTTTCCTGCAAGTTCTTCTTCACTTTCCAAACTGGTACATTTGGTCATTGTTGTTCAAAAACATCTGTCCCCCCACGGGAGAAAGCTAGCTGCCTGACTCAGTAAAATATGGCATTGTTCAGGAGACCAGTGCTGTGACTGAGATGTGTGACTGAGATATAAAGAAAAACGTTCATCTCACTACCTTTAGGATAAGGAGGACACCATTGTTCAATCAAAAGAGAAGAAAAAGATGAATCCATTATGGGAATTAACTATGAGTGTAGATAGGAGGTCTCATCTTGAATGCCTGCAGTGGTGGGATTTAAATATGTGAACAACCAGTTCTCTGTGTGGATGCCACTTCCGGAAGTCCGTTCTGGGCCTGGGCAACAAAAAATTAGCTACCAGTTCTCCTGAACTGGTGCGAACTGGCTGAATCCCACCACTGAATGCCTGTCAAGAAACCTGGGAGACTTGGTCAACCAGTGAAGCAAAAGGTGGGCTAGATCAGGGATCCCCAACCCCCGGTCTGTGGACTGGTAGTCTGCAGCATGCCAGAAACCAGGCCATGCAAACAAGCAAAGCACCATCTGGTGGATGCAGGCAGCACCTGAAACCAGGTCCCCTCCAGTCCACAGAAAAACCTCTCCCACGGAACCAGTCCCTGGTGCCCAAAAGGTTGGTGACTATTGGGCTAGATCAGGGGTGTCAAACTGCCGGCCCACAGGCTGGATGTGTCATGCCGAAACCGCACCCACCCCATTGCCAGCAATGAAAAAAAAGTCACAATACATTGTGACATGTTGAGTGACGTTGCGAGTTTGACATCTCTGGGCCAGATGGATACATAGCTTTGGGCAAGAGACATTGTTGCCTGAAGCAGGTCCCAAATGACCTTTCTCCCATCCCATTCCAAATCTTGTTGAATTGTTTCATCTCCCTCATGATTGTACCATGCAAGAGCCATGGTGGCACTGTGTTTAGAATACAGTAAGGCGGGCTACCTCTGCTGCCTGCCAGCTGCCTGCAATTTAGCAGTTCAATTCTCACCAGCTCAAGGTTGACTCAGCCTTCCATCCTTCCGAGGTCGATAAAATGAGGACCCAGATTATTGGGGGCAATATGCTAGCTCTGTAAACTACTTAGAGAGGGCTACAAAGCACTACGAAGTGATATAGAAGTCTAAGTGCCATAAATATTTCAGATCTTCAAGACAGGCCAGATTAAGAACCAAAATCATGAATGTTAATACTAGATTTATGATAAGGTTTCAGTAACTCTCTCAAAGAGTCAATGTGCTTTCCGCCTTCTTTCCTTTATCTTTGTGATAATTAGGGAGTCTTGTTTGACATGCCTACTTGGATTACAGTTTTGCCCCAGATTCAAATGCCTTTATCTCAAGGAATTGGTAGCAATTCTTCCTCCTATTCCCAATTTCTCTCTATTACAGAATGCTACTACAGACTTCATTACTGCTGATGTTGAGCAAATCAGGAGCCAGCTGAATTTATAGGTTTCACTGTTGAATGTTATTTTGTGTTAATTCATCTCTAAATTTTCAGGTAGACTTCTCTAAATCTGCTGCTTTCCGGATAGGCCTGGGATTGTAATTTCCCAGAATCCTTAGCCGTCGATGAAACAACCCTTAGCAAAAACTATCCCAGTCCACTAATGGACTGCCTTAGTTCAAATCTTTTATTTGCAAAAACTCCATTCATATCTTAAGAAATGCTTGCCATTGAGCATGGAATCAAAGCAATTGAACCTTTCACATTTCAAAGCATTTATTTGCCTTTCTTGCCTGGAAAATGTGGCTTTTCTCCTGTGCACATGTGTACCACTAATTGCTTTTTTTCCTCTTTAATGAGAACTAGCCATATGTTTGTTGGTAGAGGTAGAAATGCCATCTGCTGCATTTTGGGACAGGTAGTTTTAATTAAATTCCATTTCTGATCATGGCTGGGGTAGAGAGATATTGTTCATGGTTAGTTTTCAGAAAGAAAACTTCCATACCCATTTCTATTTTCAGTCATGTATCTGTTGCCAATGCATATGTGTACATTCAGTTATTTAGCGGTTTATTAAATTGTAACAACAATTTCGCCTGGATCTGCTCTGGAAATGGGTAATTCAATTTTATTTATAGCCAAAAGACTTTAAAGCAAGTTAGAAGCATAATCTAAACTTGGCATTAGATAAAACAGTTTAACAAGTAAAATAGTTAATAAATATTACATAATAGACTTAAAAATCCCAATTGATTGTTTTGTTACTAAAAGCCTTGCTTTTATAACCAGAGTTAAAATTATGGCTGTTGCCACTGTACATTTTGGATTTTTATCCTCAAGCAAAATTTATTTTCTCCAGATCTCTTCCAAAGGAGGGTGGGGGAGCTTCTCTGCCATAGGACTATTTAGTTTATCTATTATGTCATATGGCACTAATGGGTCCATGTATACTTTTGGGGGCATTTATCTTCCCTGTCATATCTGACATTCTTGCTTTAATTTGTTTTTCCATTAGAAAATCTAACAGTGACAGCTTTTCAAGTAAGTCTTAGTAGGCTTGCAAAATAAAATTGGCAGTACTTATAGACCAATCCTTTATGAAGAAATTTACCTGCTCAGGAGAGAATAAAGAAGATGAAATTAAAGGAATGGAGGAAATAACTTCACTAGTTTGCCATCGGGTAAATACTTGATTGTCAGCTCAGAAACCATTTTTGTTTTGAGTAGGTAAGATCCTTCTTGCCTGCCAGTTTGTTAGATGGCCTGTCACTGATTCTAAAAATTCCAAATGTATCAACAACACTCTCCCCAAAGTTACCTATCTAAGTGCAATCAAATAAAGATGTTTCACTTGTAAATAGAAATGCCTTTTAGCTATTTTTCCACAAAAGTTTGAGCTACTCAGGTGTTAAGAATATCTGATAGAGTTTCTAAAATATAATAAAATGAGTCTAAAAAGTGAAATGGGATGATATGAATACAAGCCTATTTCTATTATCCTGTGTTCTTTAGACTTTTACCACACTGGCCTTAGATTGTGATATTCACTGAATGCTGATCAATTTTTTGTTATTGTTGTTTCTCATAATTTTTGAGATTTTCACTGTTTTAATGCTTGTTAGTTAGTAATTCTAGCCATACTGAGCTATGACACATATCTAAAGTAAAAGAATATACTTATTGGAAATCAGCTTGACAAGTTATAGTTTTATAGCCTTGATCATCACATTTTTTCTTTAGAAATATTTAATAATGATGAATTTCTCTATTTGGATCAATATGATTTGACAGACTTTTCAATCTAACATTTTATGCAACGTAATAGTTGATACATATTTAAAAATCTATGAACAGGTCAGTATCATTACTTACCTTGCTAAATTGTCTCATTGTAGCTATATAAATTAATGAAAGATGTCTCTTTTTATTTTCCATTCAAGAGTGAGTACTTGGACTTCCGGTTCCGGATCGTGGCATCTCTAGTCGCACGAAGAGACTCGTCCTCTCATCGGCTAGTTTTCCCTCTGCTGGTAGACCCTTATGCGGGTTGAAAGTCACCCTGGAGGGTGCGATTCTGTCGACGAGGCTTCGCTCGGCTGCAGAGGAGTGGCAGCTCCTCCAGCTGTCCGAGCCATCTCTGAGGGCCAACGGAGAAGGAAGATTGGCCAGTAAAATGGCCGATCACCCAGCTGCTCCAAATTGCAAGTCAAAGAACATCTAAGCATTGAGAACCACCGTGGTGAATCTGGGTGAACTTTTTTGGGGGGCTCTTCTCTTTACTCTATTTTGCTTCTTTTTTGCCTGTGAGAGTTTTGTTGGAACTATTTCCCTGTCTTGAAAAAGCAGCTTTTATATGTTTGGGAAGAAAGGCATTGAACAAAGAATAGAATAACATTTTAGAGACTATATTTTATTTTCATCTGTTTTTGGGGTACAGAAAAAACTCTTTCTTAAGAGCTGTAGTATTACTTTATGCTTGAAGATTATTTCTTTTTTCACATCATATTTTAAAAGATAGAAAAAAGGGGAGGAAATGGTGTCTGGAAAAGATTTTTTTAATCTATTGAGGACATCTACTGGCAAAAACCTAATATTGCAACTTCTGGTTATTCTTTGGAGATGGAATAGACCTGACCTTCAAATTTTTTCAAGAGAAAAGTTAAACTGATGTAGCAGTGGGAATTGTGGGGGTGGATACTGCTCAACTTTTACTAAATACAGCCTCCACAAAAAAGGAAAAAAGAGACTCTCTTCAATTACTATCAATATGGAGAAAGCTCAGTTACAATTAAACTGCAAACTTATATTGGAAAAGATTTATGAGGCTACTGCAGAAATATGTGCTACAATAAAAGAGTTTATTACAGAATTAAGAACCAGAAGTTCCACTTCAAACCTGATCTCCAGACCATATCTGAATATTCTACAAATCAAAACTTACTAGAAGAGGAAACAACTGAGATAAAAGAGACTTTACCTTATAAACATGTCATTTATAGTTTTGAGGATCAGAAGAACCAAAGATTAAGACTTGCAACTTTAAAGCAATGAAGCTTTAAGGATAAGAGAAACAGAGGCCTAATACAGAGGGTGGGATTCCTATCGCTTCAAAGGGCACTGCAAGCAATAAAGAGAGATTTATCGGTTGAAAGGGAAGCTTGGTTATGGAAACCTGCCTAGCATAGAAAGAAGGCCAGAATAAGAATGAAAAGAGAAATTTAAAATGATGTGTAATGGATTAAAAGGCACTGTTGATTTATGGACTGTTTTAAGGACTAAGATTCAGACTTAGAAATAAGAAAAAAAAATAGGGGGGTGAGTATTAGAACAGATATCTTAAAATAGATTAAGAATGTAATTGGTGGAACAATAGGTTTATTTTGATGAAAATTATTATGTAGTGGAATGGAAAAAATGGTGGTTATTTAGATCTGGATTGCTTCAATAATCAATTGAGTGTTTTAAATTAGTGGATGATGTTTTTGTTTGATAATATAGATGTGATAAGACACTATAATCAATTGGATGAAATTTGAAATTTGTTTAATGAACTGAAATGATTTAAAACTTAATATTATTTTGCCTTAATTATATAATGGATTAAAGGTAATCTAGAATATTAAGAATGTACTTTTTAGAACAATAGGTTTATTTGTATGAAAATTATTATGTAATGGAGTGAAGAAAATTGAAGAGATGTTTTAGATTTGGATTGAATTAATAATTAATTGAGTTAATTTAATAAGATAATGTGTTTGTTTGATGACATGGATGTTAGTAGTTATGATAATTAACTGGATGTAATTTGAAGTCTGTCTAATGGATTGAAATGATTTAAGGTTTGATATTATTCTGTCAGCTTAAAGAGATTGATTAATTGATGGATTAGATATGTATAAGATAGATCAATATTTTATTTTAAATAGGGGATATTAATGGAAGAAGAAATAAATAAGATTTATGTAAAATTAAGGAACTAGAATATATTTGGAAGGGATACCTGAATTAGTAATGTTTTTATTTAAAGTTAATTTGATTATGGTATTTTAAATTTATAAAGCTTTAAAACAGGTTCAGGTTGAATAAATTTAAGATAGAATTGGATTATTTTAAATATACTATGCTATTTGAGGGAAAAAGAGAGGGAATATTTAATGTACTGATTGAACTATGTATATATGTTTTGTTTTTGGATGTTTGATTACCCCACCACCACGGTGTGTCCTGAGTACTTAAGAATTAAAAAACCCAATTAAAAAAAAGAGTGAGTACTTATTACATCCAAAGTAGTATTGAAATAATATTTAATGATAACCTTTTGTTGACAGTTCTTTATCAAAAGATAAGAACTTATGCAAGTCACACTGCACGTTATCTGGTCAATCCCTGCTGTGTGAACCACAGTACAATGCCTATTAGACCCAGCCAAGAATGATGACCTAAGGTATTATATAAGAAAAGTGGCACGGAAGTCAATAGTATTCGTCCACGCTTGCACAATCTCTTAGGCACCTAGAATATCTCTATTTTACTGCAATATAAATTCTTGGACCAATTATTTCATGACTATCTTCTGTCAGATGTTGGCTTCCTCAAATATTTAAATGATGCAGTGACCTGCTCTCTGGTATAAGGTTTTTATTCAGTTTTTCATGTGCTCTTTGTTCCAATGTGGTGCCTTTTCTTTTGAACTTTGATCCTGACATGTGACAGAAAGAAGTGTGATAATTGCTTGGCTTATTTCTTTTTCTGTCTTAAAAAAACATATTAATTTGAGAGACAGATGATTTGCCAAAGTCAGAAGAATGTCGTAACCACATTCTTTGTGTTTTGTAAGTTTCATGATGGTGCTAAGAGCATGTGAATAGAGGAAGACATGCAAACTCCATTCAGAGGTATTAATGCAAAGCAAGACATTTCATCAGGTTAAAATTGCCATTTTTTTTTACTCAAATGTTGTTTAGCCAAGGCTTTAAAAATGTGAGGATGAGTGTCTATGGCATCAGTTTGGATTCAAGTTCTTCTGTTTTCATTGGGGTACATAACAAATAGTTGAATGGAGGCTGACTGTACTGCTTTGTTACGTCAAAGTGGCTTGTGTAGAAAAGGTGAGGAGATTCACATTTTCTAAGCTGACAGGCAAGTACTTGTCTTTATAAATAACAAATTTAAATAGCTTGAAGAAAAGCAACAGCATAGGTCCTTGATAGTGCTAATGCTCACAAATCTATATTGGTACATTGCAACCTGATTTTTAGGACTTCTTCCTTCCTTCCTGTATTATATTGGACCACTTACACCAATGTTCTTAAAGCTGGTATTGTATTATAGTAGATGCCCCAGAACCGTGTGTGAGAAAGTGATGTGCCTATTTCCCTAACCTTAACCCTAACCCTAACTTTAACTCTAACATTTCATATTCTGAGACCGGCAGCACCATATCAATGCTTTCTTTATTAGAGCAGAATGTGAACCAATGGTAGTACAACCATTCTCAAACTACTGGTAGATCACCCTAGGAAGCAACATGAGGTCTCCTTTGAATAATTGAATGCCATGCAGAGCTTTCTTGTGTTGTCCTCCCTTATCCAACATTCTGTGAAGAAGCTCTTGATCCTCCAAAATATTTTGTGAGAGACCTCAAAGAGATCTAGGGAAAGAGGCAATCTCTTTCCTAACACTCCTACTGACAGAAGACATTCTGAGTACTGAAGAAAATTAATTAGTTTCTACCTTATGCTTCTTGGAACTGCATGATGGCAACATATTGTTCTGCATCATTTATTCTTATGTAATATTTTCATGACTGGAGAAACACATTCATTGGTCTTCAAAGTCATCCACCAGATGATCAACACTATTTACATCCTGTGCCTGCTTCTTCATCCCAACTTAAAGAGATCCAGTTATCCATTTCCTCTAGCATTCTTTGTAGCTGATTCTCCACAACCCATTCAAGGACCTACTCTCAAATGGGGAGATTGATTAATGGGTGGAATGTATACATTAGGGTTGGATTGAGAGATGGTTTCTTCAAAAAAGGGCATACACTACTTCTGCCATTGTATGCTGTCAGGCTGGCAGCATTTTGCCCTCCTTGAAAGAAGTATTAATATGAATGAACATTCTCAATCATGTATAAATCATCTTGCCTTTCTGTCCCATTAAAAATAACTTTCAGAGATATCTGGGGGCTGCATCAAGCGCTCAAAGTCCCTACAGAATTTTGATCTTAGAGTTCTTAAAAGATTTCAAATGACAAATTGCTGGTTTATCCAATATATATATATATATATATATATATATATATATATATATATATATATATATATATAACATGTCCATAAATTTAGTTCTGTACACATTTATTAGAAAGCAATTCTGACTTTTCAAAGAGATCCCAAAATTATAGTCTGGTTAGTCTCATATATACTCTGATTAATTTAATAGAGCACATTACTAAAACATACAGTATTAAATATACTGAAGTGCAAGAAGAGACAGGGTGACTTATGTAAAAAATAACTTCTGTCTTATTAACCTTTTATTGTTTTTGAGAGTATCAACCAGCATTAGCATTTAGAGGGCAGAGGAAGCCAACAGGCACAATAGTTGCCATCCTGCAATTTAGATAGGAAAGCAGAGCATGAACAGAATTAGCCAGAAATGCGTAATGTAGAGGAAAACCACAGCATTGTATTTAGAAGCAAAGGATTGTCAAGGGAATAGTGGTGGAAATAGATGGTACAAGGAAGGGAAAGGGGAAAAATAAGAGTTGCCCTCCCCCTGTCAGGGGATGCCAAACAAAAAGCTAATGCAGGCTTTTGATTTATTTTATCCTTTCAACAACTAATGACCCAGATGCTTTTCCAGCATATGTGTGCATGTGTGAATCTCAGAACCTTTTATTAACTTGCTGGAGGAGAAAGCTGTTCCATAATACCTTTGTTAATCCTTTTGTAACTGAGGTGCAGATTTTCTAACTGTTTCCATGGATAAGAATGATATCATTTGTTCTTTTCCTCGTCCATCCCATTCAAGCCATTTTCCCCATTTACTGTATTTCTGTCTGATCCACTGTTTCACATTGGTGTTCTTCTGGTATGAATACATTTTAGGTATTTATATTGGAGAAAGTGGATATAGTTGGAAGAAAATCTTGATGGCAAAAAATAAAATAGGTTCATCTGCATTTTTTTTAAAATGTACATGATATTACTTCC